CTGCCGCACGCTGCCCCCCCTGCCCGCTGGCTCCGCTCGCTTCCGACCCGCCGCCGCTCTCCTGCGCCGCTCCTAAACTTCTCTCTGCGGCGGCGGCCTCCGCGCCCCGCCGGCTTTGTGCTGCACTGCCACACTGCCCGCCCCTCCCCTTTTTTGCGTGGAGCTTATTATGCGTCGAGCGGAGGCGTCTGGAGTTGCTCGACCTCGGGTTTTAAGAAATACTGTGCCGCGATTATATTAACACTGAGGGCTCGGGTTTCGTTTTGTTCGGTTTTTTTTGTTGTTTTTTTTTTTTTTTTTAATTGCCGAATGGGACAGTGAGATCCGGTGACTTGTTTCATTCGAAACCTGTTCCTTTTTCAGTTTTCGTTATGGGGAATGTGGTTGTTCATAAAGTCTACAGAGATAGATAAATTCTATTTTAATGAACTTCGGATGCGCGTTAAGATGTTTAGCAATATTGTTAAGCTATGAAAGAGACCTTTATGCAGCAGAGAGAACAACGGTTTTAACGGTTGTGATGTTACCCTCGCTCATTGGAGCACTGGACCCAGAAATAGCACTTGTTCGTACATGTGAAGCCAACTAGTTCTGTTAATTCTCAGGTGGAGCTTTGCGCTTTATTTCAGCGATATTGTTCTAATGAAATACTAATTATAGTTCAGAAGGCTTGCTCATCCTGAGTTGTCACTTTCATTTTTGTTTGCTGATAATCTCCTTTGCTAACTTCAGAATTTGACAGCGATGTCATCAAAAACTTGCATAGTAACACAAACACACGTGAAAATGTTGAAGGCTTTTTGAGTTATTGACCCTAATTTCGTGGTGTATAGTTTTATGCAGTGCCTAAATTGATAAAAATATTCCATGCATGTCTGGGAAGAAGGATTGGAATGTGCTTAATGATTTGAGAATACAGTGAGTAGTTTTTTGTAGTATTCTGGAGCTATTTTAGTTCATATGTAATCTTTTAAATATTATATAAATGGATTTAAAGATTGAAGAGAGCAAACATTACGCAAGTAACAAAATAAGTATTATCTAACTTAAAGTATTAAATGGTGTTAGTCTTAGTGGAGAATTTTATGGTTAGTCTATGTCCAGGCTTTAAAAATTGAGAGAGGATCTGTTCGAGTACCTGTGGAAAATGAGGTGTTTATAAACTTTAAATAATACATCTACAATATTTGATCACTATTTTTTGCTGTGGAGCACTCAAATTGAAACTGAATGAACTGTAGTTCATTGAGTGATGTAGCAACATATTTCAACTCTATTTTCTGCAGTAAGTTTTCTAAAATTTCGAAGCTAACATATAAAATACTCATGAAGTCTGTATAGGAGGAATATGACATTTGAGCACTATTGGCAATGGAATAATAAACTTCTGAGGGAGAAACAATATTGGAAAAGATTTGGTATAGATTTTGATGCTTCTAGAATACACTTTAAATTTCAAATAGAAAAATCAATAAAACTTAATAGAGTAGAAAACTATGGTATTTGAATGAGTCATCTGTAAATTGTGTTATATGTGTTAGTATAGACTCATGTTTGGGAAGGAAAGTAGTAGTTTCTTGCTAACTGAATTAACTAGTGGACAGTTCGTATATTGAAAGTGACTTCTTCTCGTGTCGGTTGAAATCCTAATACATAGCCTAACTTTTGCTTTTTCCTGTAATGCTAGTTTTCTATAAAGGCCTTGCAAATATGACATTTTTTTCCCCTCAGAAATCTGCTGAAATGTAAGCAGCTTCTTTTCTGCAGATTTTATAAAATTAGTCTTTAAAGAGTAAATGGAACATGCTAAAAATATTTTTACATTAATGACTTCTCTGTTTCTCTGGAGTCATGGCGCAGTGGGTCAGGATGATAAACTTACGCCTGTAAATAAAATACCGTAAGATCATGTGATTTACAAAAAATAATTACTTGTTGGTATAAACTACAGAGTGAGTCATTGAAATTTATATCTGTGTTTATAATTTGATTTTCTTGATAAACTCAAAGCCATTGATTGGAAGTATATTATCTTTATCCATAGGCACAAGTTGGTCTTATAATTAAATCTGAGAATAAATTTTTACTTTATTCTATTTAACTTCTTTCTATTTCTAGTGTTTCAAGAACACGGAACAGTTATTATATATTTGTAATATTGTCATTGCCTATGAATGTGAGAAGATATATTTGCTTGGTTTAATTAAATTTGAGTGGCATTTGTTGGGATGAGAGGAATGAAACGTGTGCAGGCACAGTGCTTAATTTGAGTACATCATCAATTGCTGAGGATATTTGAAAACTTATTTCAGACATGAGTGTCAGGCATTTATTTATAACTATGTACTATGTTCAATTAGCTGACTTTTATTCTAGATTTCCCTAATGTTAAACATAAAGCTAAAATAGTTGAATAAAATGCGTGAATATGAGCTTTCCGAAAAATGATTTCTGTAGAACAGCCTCTTATGTAGCTGTAAGCGGTATCAGTACAGGACGGTGAGAGTACTGGCTGCTGAATAAATACCGTAAGAGGGAAGAAAAACCTTTAAAAATAAAAGGCTACTTTGTATATAAAGGGTGTTTAAAAATTTGTCTTTTAAACTTTTGACCCCTCCCCCACCTTCCATCCAAAAAGGATCATAGGTGGCCTGGCAGAGACACACTCACAGAATGGGGTTGATGCATTTTTTCTGGATGGTGGTGGAATTGTTTTTTTGTTTTTCTGAAAAAATCGCCTCAAGATATTTCGCGTCGCTTTAGGAAAAGTGAATGCTGGCCTAATGCGTCACTGAGTAAGTTTGCTGTCTCTTGAGGAATGGAAGAATCGAATTTGTCTTCTGGGGCTGAATGTTTAAGTTGGGGATTCCAAAACTGTTTACTGAAGGAGGTAGACTATCCATTGTGTTTAGCACGCTTTTGAAAATAATATACATGAACAGAAGGAATTTGGGAGTCTTTCACCTCATGTTTATCTAGCTCAGTAATCCATACTTTATTATCTCCTATTGCTTGTTTGCAAATTGTACACTGGGAAATCTAGAAGTTAGTAAATCCTGTAACATTTTTTCTTTTTTTTTTTTTAATCAAAGTTATTTTTATGTCTCTCAATATGAGAAAGATAGGAAAATGCAAACATGAAAATGACAGGATATTAGGATATTACAACAGTAGTTGTTACTGTAAATCATGGATTTCTGGTGCTGACAGGCTAGAAGATAAGTTTATAAGATTTTTCCATACTTCACGGAATACTTGAAATGAAAGTTCAGTCTCAAGGTTAGAAAAGAACAACCTTCTCCCCAAAGCCCGTAATATTTCTAAATAAATAGTACTATGTGAAACATAGCTATACAGTATTCACTGGTTTTGATCTTTGGGTATCTAATTGCCATATTGTACTAGTGATTACTGCCCGGAAGATTTTTTTCCCCCGCATCTGGTAATAAACCTGCGGATTGACCTAATCTTTTTGTATCCTTTTTAATGAAAACTTAAAAAGAGTGATTAGGCTAAGTGATAGTGCTGCTGCTAAACAAAAATAAAGACAAGACGGCATTTGAAAATACTTCCAAAATTCAGAACATAGAAAACCGTAAAGGTTGCAAGGATTTATTTAGCACTTGGCATGTTTTATTTTGGATAATTATGGTAGAAACAGAGTGCTGCAATAAGGAAGTTAAGGACAGCTGAAGTATTTGAAGTTTGATAAGGTAAATTGTTGGATAACTAGGTTACAGAAACAACACCTGGAATTCTTACTAAAATATTCAAATTACAAATTTTATTGCTTCTGTCTTCTATTTTAGTTATTAGATATTAGTTTGGTGCCTCTGAGGTGGTGGCTTTAAGACAAGATTTTACAAGATGTATTGTTACATGTGACTTAAAATTGAGACCATTTAAGTTCCTGAAGGGTGAAAGAGGGCCAAAGTTGGGGGATGTGTTCTCTTTTTTTTTTTCTTCTTTTCCCTAAAAGTGATCAAGAAGTAGTATGATAAGGTGTCTTGTTAAACTTGGTGTCTTGAGATACGGAGAGATGCTAAATATGATATGGTCTGAATGAGTTCCCTGTGGTAGGAACACTGGTTGCCTGAATATTCACTTTCCTTGAATGCAGGGCAAAACATTCTTTAAATATATGATCTGTTTGTATAAGGTATAAGACTGTTAAAAAGTTGATTCAGTAGCATGGCTGATGCTGTGTATTTGCAAGAGTTTGTTTCAGTGCGACCGTTCTTTATTGATTAAAAAGGTAATCCTCGTGTTTGCATTTTGTAGTCGTCAACAAGAAATTGAAGAGAAACTCATAGAGGAAGAAACTGCTCGAAGAGTGGAAGAGCTTGTGGCTAAACGTGTAGAAGAAGAGTTGGAGAAAAGGAAGGATGAGATTGAGCGAGAGGTTCTCCGCAGGGTGGAGGAGGCTAAGCGCATCATGGAAAAACAGTTGCTCGAAGAACTCGAGCGACAGCGACAAGCTGAACTTGCAGCACAAAAAGCCAGAGAGGTAACGCTCGGTCGTTTGGAAAGTAGAGACAGTCCATGGCAAAACTTTCAGTGTCGGTTTGTGCCTCCTGTTCGGTTCAGAAAGAGATGGAATACAGCAAATCTAATTCCCTTCTCGTATAAACTTGCATTGCTGCGAAACTTAATTTCTAGCCTATTCAGAGGAGCTCACTGATACTTAAACAGTTACTCTCCTAAAACCTGAACAAGGATACTTGATTTTTAATGGAACTGACCTACATATTTCAGAATTGTTTGAAACTTTTGCCATGGCTGCAGGATTTATCAGCGGTCCTTTCATTTTTGGGGAAGGGTATTGAAAATCTGTAATTATGTATCCTTCATTTGTTTCATTTTGTTTACCTAGACTGTAAGAGGCTTTTGCCTTCAGTCAGGCAAAAAGCAGGGTCCAGCAGTGAGCTGCAGTACCTGTCTTTAACAAATAGGTTTCTTATTCTTCATTTAAAATGAACATTTTCTTTGAGCATACATTGGACTAATTCTGGGACTTCGAGCGTAAGCCCATCCACGTCTTCACGAAGGATCTATGTCCAAGTCATTATATCAATTTTTAATAACTACTAACAACTCCTTTTTTTTCCCTAGAAGTTATAAAAGAGCAGGTTGCCCTTGTCTGAAGTCAAGCTGAACATGTGACTTGGGTTTTTGGTTTTGGTTTTTTTTTTTTTTTAATCAGCAGCTGGAGCAGAAGCTGAAAATGTCTTTCTGTGAGACAGTAATTTGCTACTAAAGGCTTTGATGCCTGCCTGCACCGATCATTCCAGGATCCAGAAATTTAAAGGCAAACTTTAAACTGTAAAGGAAATTTGTGCTAAATAGTCACAAGTCTCAAATGCCTTTTTCACTCTGTACCTCCTACACGGTTTGTTTTAAATTAATATTTTGATTGGCTTACCAAAGGAAAGACAGTAGCAACGAAGCTTTCCCCTTCATACTAAATGTGACTTGTCTGTCACATAATATCTTTAAATTAAAACCAAAAAAACCCAGAACGCTGAGTTACAACAAATATTAAGAATATTAAATTACACCTGTTTTGCAAATTCAAACCTTAACTGTGAAAGAATTGAAGTTCAATTTAGATGTCTGTAGTCAGCAAATGCTTCATGTATAGAGGTTTTCATTTGATCAGGTGGATTACTTTTTTTTTTTAAAGTATTTTTGCTATTGTCAATGTGATGTGAAGAAGTCCCATCAGTTCTTTATAATGCAGAATAAACTTCCATGCCTGGAGTGAAGAGTGCTAGCTAGTAGCTGGTTACTAGTCATAGTAAGAAGTTTTCTCTTCGTATGCTTGCTTTGTTCGTATTAACTTTTTTTTCTTACACAGACACAAACCTCTGGCTAACTTTAAATCTTCCAAATATTAAAATAATTTGGATATATATTACGTGAACTGAAACACCTCAAAAACTTTCACGCAGTCTTCATATTTATGAGTTGCATAACAGAGTTCCATAAAATTCACCAAGAAAACAACAATTACAAGGCTTTATTTCCTGATCTTGCCTACCCTGGACTCCTGAATTCCAAGTTCAGACTGCAAATGACAGTTTCAGCTGTCTTAAAATTGTCAAAATATTGAATGTTAAGTCCATTCTCCCCATGAAAGAAGCCCATAGCTCCATGAAGTATGGATTACCATTTGTATTTTTCACTAACAGTAAATGTATTTTTCTTATTAATTGTTTGCCTTAGGAATGATTTACATATTTTTGTTCCTTCTTATCATAAACATCTGCATTCCTCAGCTCAGCCTTCCTTGTATGTTGTTTCTTTATAAATGGTTGAGCTGCTGATGCAGGTATTGCCAAGCTAACAGTACAAATCATTTTAAAGAGGAAGCTGGCGCGTATGGCAGCCGAGGAGCACACTCTGCAGGACACTGGACAAGACAGTAAATATTCAACTTTTAATGCTGATTAAAGGAGTATAGGTAAAGAATACGTAGGTATACTTAATTGGTGAGACAAACTATTCACTTTATTTATATTTTCTATATTACTTTTTAATTTGGTAAATACTATCCAGTTTTTGTAGTTGTCCTTGTTGATTTGTGTGATATTAAAATTCTAGTAATAAATTGTCAGGAATCTATGATTAGGGAGGGTTTAGTTGGTTGCTGTTTGGACTGGGCGGGATGATTTAAATTGAGTACTAGAAACCAGTTTTAGTGGCTGCACAATTTACCGTTGTGAGACAAAATAGGTGGCTGTAAAGCTGCCACTTTAAGTCAGTTCACAAAAGAATTCTGAGAAAGATTAGTGAACATGCAGAAAGGAGTATTTCACTTTACTAACATCTTGCCCTGTCCTCCCCTTTAGGAAGAAGAGCGTGCAAAGCGTGAGGAACTAGAGCGAATACTAGAAGAGAATAATCGAAAAATTGCAGAAGCACAAGCTAAACTGGTATGTGAAGATGTAGTTAACAGTTCTGTAGGGGAATACAGGTCCCTCTGCCTGATTTGCAACACAATTAAAATAAACAAATCGATCCTTTCTAGGATTTAACTTGTCTATTGCTGGTTATGTGGGTAGAGTTGCTCTCCTTCCCTTGAGCATAAGAGACCAGATCCTTAGCAGTAACACTAGTCTGAAAAAAATAGTTCAGGTGCAGTTAATTTAGAGGAAGACAGCTGACTTCAGAATTTAAAAAGTACCTTTTTAACTATATCTCACAGGGAAGGTTGAAGTAAGTTTGCAAACTCGTTCAGCTTCTAGAACAGAAGCGGCGAATTCTGTTTTGTTGAGCAGGACAAGCGCAAACTCGATTTGAGACTGGTATAATGTTGCTGTACAAGTGCTGAAAGGGGCTTTCAGCATAAGCTTAAGATGTCTAAGTTACGAAAGTCTAGCTTATGTTGGTCTCCAAGCCTGTTCAAGCAGGTGCCTGCCTCATGAGAACGTTCAATATGATTTAGCTGATTCTAATTAATTAATGATAAGCCAAACTAAGCTGCTTCTAAATTTTGGTTGAACTCTATCGGTTTCAGTTACCCAAGTAATCGCACCTTTTTCAGGTAAAGATGGTGCTTCTTAAAACTCTTTGCTTGAACCACATCTGCTTTAGATGTTTTACCCTTTTCCCAACCTCATATGGTGGAAATGGGAGAAGTAGAAAATTACAGCTCTTACCACTGGAAGAGCTGTAAGAATCATAAGTCACTGTAAGGATTGACTTGTTACAGATCAAGTAAAGGTGGTTTTGAATTAGGAGGGGTTTTTAGATGGGTTTTGGAGTGGGGAGACCTCTGTTTGAAGGTCTGTTACTTCGTTATATTGTGCCTTCATCTGACACGTGACAGCTGTCAGGGGAACTTGTCTATATATACACACTGACTTCCTTAATTAAAATGTGTTGTTTGCAAAGCAATGCTGAAGAACATTGCATGTAAGCGCTCAAGATTTCGACGCATTAGCTGTAGAAAGTTTTCCGTGTTTCTTCCAAAGTCAATTCAAATAACCGTTTTATAAATGGTTTCACTGAAACCAGCTATGGCACCTAGCTCAGGTAGAACTGCTTACATAACTATGCAGGAGTGGACCTGTTTGGAAGTTAATACCGAGCTGTAGATTGCTTTTATGACTACAGAATACGCTGGCCTAAATTCTACCATTTTCATATATAGGCTGAAGAACAATTGAAAATTGTTGAAGAACAAAGAAAGATTCATGAGGAGAGGATGAAACTAGAACAAGAGAGACAACGTCAGCAAAAGGAAGAGCAAAAAATTATCCTGGGCAAAGGAAAGTCTAGGCCAAAACTGTCCTTCTCACTAAAAAGCCAGGATTAAATTGCAACTCTGAACTCTTAAAAGGAAAAAAGAAAGAAACAAAAAAATCCGACAAAAAAGCAAAACAAAAAAAAAACTTTGTATGGTAGCTTCATGTTGAAGTGGTTTTTTTTTTTTCTCTCAATTTTTTTTTTTGTCTTTTTTGAAAGTCTGGAAAGTTAGCTTGTTCTAATAGGGGCTGTGCTCTGCAATTCTTATTTTTTTTAAAACTTCCATTAAGTTAAACCCTTATCAGATCATTGTTGCCTTTTAGAGGGTAATCTGTTCTCACCGATTTTGTTTCTGTATTAGTGGTCTGAAGCAGATCAGGTCACTTTATGAATCGTGGGTGATCTGATAAGGTTTTACTGACCTACGCATCAGAGTTTGACTCTGATAATTGACAGAACTTTATACGGGGTATTGCTGACTTTTAAATTTTTTTTTTTTTTTTTAAAGTCAGTAAATACATGAGTAAATTGCCATAGTATTACTGGACCTCTGTGGTTTATTGTTAAATCAGTGTCCTATGATACTGTCCCGTTGTTGCGCTTGATGTTCCTGACACAGGTAAGGAAATAGTTTGTCATTTCTGCTATGAATACATAGAGAGAGTTCAGTATTGTCTCTGTTAGATTTGTTTTTATTACATTGACAGCATTCAACCAGCGTTCCCCATTGTGTAAATAAACCAATTTGCTGAATAAAGTGAAAGTCTTAAATTCATATGTTTAAGTAAATTTTTTTAGTACACTTCTATAAACAGCTATGAGTGACAATTCACATGAAATTCAAGACTATAGTGGTATTTTTTTTTTTAATTTTGCTTTAAACTATTGTGGCTTCTCCTACTTACAATGCAAAATTACACACAGTACAAAGTCCCTGCAGTTGTGAATGTTTTTGATGGCTGCTGCTGTTTTCATGAATGTTGGTTTTTATTCTGACAGAGACTTATTTCAGCTGTAATATCATGTTTAAACAGCTGTTTGGCTTACTGCACCCAGACCAATACTTCGATATCTAATCCCTTTCAGTTCTCCTCATAATATAGTATATTGTATAAGTTAAGGTCATTTCCATATAATGAATCTGATGGATCCTAAAGGATTTAAAAATGGAAGTTTTTTTCCCAAAGGACTGGACCGGCTAGCGTGCTTGAAGTGAAAAACAGAAAGTGAGATTCTGTCTAAATATGTTGTTTTAGCCAGAAGGCAACTGTTATTCATATACAGATCTTGAATGTTCTCCATTTATATATACAGGTTTTATTTTGGAAAATGAAACTACAGATTGAAAACTATATATAAAAGTCCCCTTTTTGTATATAATTCTTCTACCAAAACCTGGATTACCATAGCTTGTCCGGTTCTAAAACTTTCTTTTTCCTGTCGGTATTGCAACATCTGTAGTAACCGTAAAATGAAAGTAACCGGTAGTTGCCTGAGCATTTGAATGTCACTGGACAAAGTCGGAACTAATTTCTGATATTCCCAAAGGATCTGTTTCTGTAGATTTGGCAAATTAAATGCGGGAGCAAGTAGAGTGTGCCACTGAGAGCAGTATTCAACGTGCTTTGTGTGAAACCTGGGCTTGGGGGCAGGCTGATGCGTATCGCTTTGTCCAGCATGTCGAGAAAAATGTGAAGACAGTAAAATACCTACACTATTACTGTACTTAAATTTGTCTATATATTGTATTACAGAAGAAGGTTGAAGGTTGCTTAATGCATAAAAACAAAAGCTGAAGCCAAATAAATCATGTACGTGACCTGTTGGCAGGAGCAGGCTGTATTTAAAGCTCAACTGATACCTGTATTTCCAAAACAGAAAACATCCCCTGTTCCCTTATGAGAAACAAGCTATTAAAAGTCAATACTCAAACCAGACCTATGCATTTTTGTTTCCTCTCCTCTTCTAAAAGCAAGAAGCGAAGTTCTCGTACATGCAGCT